TAACGTTTTGCATCCAACAAAGTTTGGACCAACAAATCTAATAGTTATTTCAAAGTTTTCCCGTGAAACTTGCAAGTGAAGCATATACATTCATGTTAATAAAGCACGCTATTTTCATCAATATTTTACGTTTCAAGTATTTTCAAAATACCCTCCCCCGACATTTTTCCCCGCGTTATTCGTGGCCAAAGTTTTAGGCAGTGATGGACGCGCAGTCACGTTGCGTCCGAACAGGAAATCATTTATCCGAGCTATTATGCTTGTTATCACGGTATCTGGTTTACTCAGAAGTGATCGTTCGTTCGGAAATACGTAGTACAACGGATGTGCCCAACGTTCGTATTGTTGATCGAATGTCCTTCCCCCTCCCCCGGACAACATATTTTTGATATCGTATTCCAAACGCTAAATCGCGTTTATTATCAATAATTTTATTATTGTAATTAATACCGTCATTTCGGTTGTCCGAATCGTCCGTCGTTACCAGTAACCGAAGGTGCGCGATAGGTACTAAACACGGTTCGTGTCGCAACGTTAACGATACAATTATTATCACTTAATGCGCTTTTTATTCGTTTTCACAGTGACTGATGTGTACGAACAAACGCACGTCCGTAAACGTATTTTATTATTTTGCTTTGTGTGTGTACTATACTGTTATTTTGCGCCTAAACGTGTCTAGAAAAATACGTGTAGAGACATTTTCGTGGCAACACGTGGACGTCAGTTGGTCGATATAACTTCACATTTTACATTGTCGGTACGTACCAAATTATACTTTTAGGCAACGCTAATAATATGTTCAATACACAAAGGAACAAAGTGGGAAATAGTTTTGTCGTTATAAACGCGTCAAACGTGTGTTGATTCATTGTATTTGTTATGACTTTGCCCAGAAAAAAGTAAATATTAGTATTCAAAGTTGAAATAGAAGCTGATTTTTCGGTCATATCAACATTTTGTTCATAATAGGTTCATAATTCGGTCGCAAAAACAGCAACAACGTTTATATTACAAAGTTTGATTTTTTACACCCCTCTGCATTTTATCCGTCGGGTATAGTTTTTATATTTATTCACACACCGCACATGCTCGCACTTATTATCTACAGTACATGCCGATCGATTTCGCCAAAACTTTCGGTCGGGTCATAGCAGTAAACATTCCACTAAAGTCAGAGATGATATCAATACAAGGCAGACGGGAGAAAGGAAAATTTCCAGATGTGTTGGAAAAAAGTTTGGAAAGTCAAATTGTTTGGCCCGTTTGGTTGCAATTATATTTTACTGCGATTTCTATAATAGGTACAATAATAATTTTACTTAATTCGAAATCTATAAATTACAAATAATACATTTACAATAATGCTCAATATTACTAAATTTGTCGTACTAAGAATGATTATTAAAACTTAATTTACCACTTGGCACTTTGCATAAACTATTAATTTCTCAATAAATAAGTAAATAGTGTTTGCATTGTATTTATATTATGAGTTGATATTCATGTTATGAATTTTTAACTGATAAAAGGTACTATATTATAGGGTGTCTCAAAAATAACACGGGATTTAAATCTGCAATAAGTTTAATTTATTTATTTTGAAAAAAACATAACAAATATGTCATTCTCTTCGTAAGAAGTTAAGGTTTAACAGTGAAAAACAATATTGGGCAGATAACTTTCCCTACTAGCCCTACAGGCGATTATTTTTTCCATCAAATTTACCATCACTGGACAGCACATTGACCCATCAAGTTCGTTGAGGACACGACGAATTTTTTTCTTAAGTTCCAAGACATTTCCAACTTTGTTCTGGTAAACTTGTGACTTTGATTGATGAGTATCCCCATCAGAAGAAATCGCACGGCGTTAAGTATAGATTTAATTTGTAGCAGATAGTATAAATCCTGCGTTATTTTTTTGAGGCACCTAAAGTATAAATGACAAAATATTGTAATAGGTTAAACAACGGTTTTACCGTTACTACCCAAGCTGCAATGAAGGAGCCAATCCGCCCTTGTACCATTGTATTCTTAATTTTCACAATACCTGGACGAGCTTGAAAATATACGCGATTCGCACGACTCGATGTGCACGTGAACGATTTGCACGAGCGTGTGCCCACGAGATAAAATATTGAACATTCGTAGAGGACAACATCGAGTACTACAGACGATAGTTACAGCTAGTATAATACGATAGATAACGCGATAAAATTTCGACACGGACTGTTTGCGAACTTGACGGCGGATAAAATTCGATACCGACCGTTCGATAGTCCATCAATGATCAACCACCAATCTTCGGTTGCGTAAAATAAAACGGTTCCCATAACGCGGTATATTCTGTAATTGACGGAGATGAAATCCAAGGACTACGTGCTGTGGCGTGCGCAATAGTTTGGTATGGGGATGGGGATGTCATAAATAAAAATTTATTATTTTCAATCTTTATTCTTTATTATTATACAAAAAAAAAAATGCAATCAAGGCGGAAATTCATCCGTCGGGCTTTTGCACTAAATTCATCAATTATTTGCTCTGTAGATAATGGAATGTCTCGATGTACGAGACATATATATATATATATATGTTCATTAACGCCAATCCATTTAACCGTGACTGTCCCGTCGTATTTCTTAAATACATTTTTAAACATTTAAGACAAAAAAAAAAGCCCATGGGGAAGAAATATGAATCCGAATGGCTGCAAGATGGCCGACTTTTTTATCATTATCAGTTATCACAGATTTTATTATAACTTTATTCTCAATATATTTCTTTCCCTTACCTTATTTCCACCTAAGTTGTATTGCCATTCTTGTTATAAGTCTAATATACTAATAGTGACAGTTAAGTATCTGATTACTTTTTCTTATTTTAAATATTAAACAAGTAAAATTAACTCAGTGTTTTAATGTCTGTTTAAGTGTTTTCATAGTTGAATTAGGGGAACCCATATATATATATATATATATATATATATATATATATATATTATAAATAAATATAGATATAGATATCTAATCATAATTCTCATATGTACAAACTATAAATTTCTTTGTTGTGTTATTTGAATATGAATTGTAAAAATGTTTATGGTGTATATTTATTAAATAAAAAAAATCACAAAATAAATGTCTATTTATTAATAAATTCAAAAATTATAAATATTATTTGTGTAAATACAATAAATATGCATCAAAATTTTATTTTATTCTGTTAGGTTTTAATAAGTACTACTGTCACTACTACTACTGCTACTTAAATACGAGTAAGTCATTTTAATAAGTAGGTACCTACTTGCATTAAAATAATTACCAATTATAAAGATACCTACAAGTTACGAATAAGAAAAATCTTTGAAATTAAAAGTAAAATCAAACAAATGTATTCACATACCAAAATAAATAAGATTAATATGATAATATTTCAGCTAAACTCTAGTTTAACTCTTTAACTGGTCAAATATCTAAGGTTAATTAATTTGCAGTCAAACTCAGGGTAAAATATTAACCAAGTCATAATAAAATCACATTTCTAGTTTAACTGGGGATTAATCTTAACTAAAGGTTATATTCTCTTAACTGGTGATTGATAAAATGGCCCTTATAATAATAAGTTATATTCATAGACCTTATACTCTTACTATAAGGTCTATGGTTATATTATATAATAAGTGATATAATAAAACCTGTGATAATTGATAATGACGAAGTCGGCCGTCTTGCAGCCATTCAGATTCCCTGTCACTAGACGCTTGATCCCCCATCATCCCCCCTGCGTACACCTCTGGCTACTGGACCGAGTGAGTTTTCGTGTTGTTTAACTAACGAGCCCTCGTCGGGGGTATGCTTAACTGTTTTCGTCGCAAAAGATTAGCGACGGCGGTAGGGGGTTTTGGTTCGCTGTTATCTTTCGAACACATACGCGCCAACCGGAGCAATTATAATAACATTACCGAACACTGCTACGTCGTAATCGCACCAAAGGCCGTTATCACGGTCTTCGACGGTCATAACGTGTATTTTCACGTAACATGACTACTGCCTACTCCGTTGTTAATACACGCGACCTCGTGAAATTATTGATTATAACACGAATACGACTACGTTTCATTAGGGTATTCTGCAACACACGGTTTTTTTTTCCATCCGTTTAAACTCGATTTTCTCGGAGCCCAGTGCTTTTTTTCGCATTGCACGTCCTGACATATTCGTGTTTACGCACGTTGTTATATCGTTTTATTCGTGCACAAAAAACCACGTTTCTCAGCTGTCGACGTCTTTTTACATTGATCGTTTATAACCACGTTAAAACAACACGCGAACACGTCTCACACGTACCTGCCGAGGGTGGTTAATTTTCTATACCAGTTTTTTTGTACACAAAAAAATGAAAACACACATATTCTACCGAATAGACGTGAAGAACCATGTCGATTACCGTCAGCGCTACAAAGACCGCCTGAATGAACAAAACATCGCGTCATGATGTCATAGTTATTATTATCCGGGGTAGTATTTGTTTGGATTGAAGCGGGGAGAAACTTTCTCTTTACGGGGAATAATCCTGACTGAGCGAAAGCCGATGGTGCGTCTCGCACGTGTCCGTTAAGTTTGGACCTCGGCACGCGTCCGCGCCTACTCCACCGCCTTCAGTTTTCACGCGTTCACCTATCCCTTCTGCGCCATATGTGAATTTACTTTTTTTCTACTCCTCGTACTTCCGCTCGTCTTATACCGTTTTCTATTTCAGGCCGCCGCCGCCGCCACTGCGAGATCGCGGTCAATACATGTATACAATTATACAATATACACACACATACGCATGCGCAAGACACAGTTACGTCTATTTTTTGCGCATACACACATATAAATCGGTATACTGTTCACATGTATTTATATATGTATTAATCTCGAAATATACGCGATCTACACGCTGGCGCACACGTTCGTCAGTGTTCCTGGTCACACGTTACGTGTAGGATCGATATAAGTTAACGCACACACATAAACGCACATTGGTCCACCACATATTTCAGACAAAAGCCGAACAACGATGTGTACTGTAACGTATTGTTGTGAAGCTCCCGTAGGCCACCATTTGATACGGATTCGGTAATAAATCCTACATTAATAGTACGGTATGCGGCGCAGTCGTTCGTACGCGATAGCATTGTTTACTCAGCACGCGTTCGCAGGACGAAAGGAAATCGAGGAGCGGATGCACGGAAAATAAATTGTCATATCGAAACGGTTTCGTCGCTCATCACAACGCGTCGTCGCACCAATATTCCCGACGGTATGTAAAAACACGTACGCGTGCATGACGGGGCGTTTGCCGTGTGGTCACTACGTAACTTACGAGGAAACGGTTCGTTTATTCGACTTCAACATATTGAAATTACTGAACTACAATTGCGTGTACTGTGTATTATGTTTGCGCGCGTTATTGTGTGCTTATAAATAAGTAATAAAACGTATGTGCGCAACATACGGGCCGCGGGTAGGTATTTCGATTACAGTAGGTACAATAAATTTTAAAAATATTATTATAACCAGGGCTTGGGACTTTTAACACTTAAAATGATTAAAAATAGCATTATGTATAAGCATTTAAAAAATTTAAAATTAAGCAAAAATATTTATTAAAAAAAAAAAACTATAAAATTCTAATTAAAAAATCAAAATAAATTTACACTTTCAAGACTTTATGACTTTATTTACATTAAGCATTTTATGGATTTTCTAAAGGATTTTTCTGAAAAATAAAATGTAAACTGTTTGAAATATATTTATTTATTTTTAAATGCCTTCATGAAAAATATAGCACTGTGGGTAATAAAACAGACTATATTCTATAAATATAATATAAAACCTATTGTGTATAATTAATAAGGTATATACAAAATAATTTAATGTATTAATTATATAACACATAATTTTTACTGAGATGTTCAATCTATTTTAATTTTCATACTGGTTCGATGCTATAGATTTGATGTGAACTGTTTTAAAGTTATTTACGGTGAAATACTAGTGACTTTAATCTTTTATCTTTATTGTTTTTTAATGCTAAATAAAACCGAAGTTACAAAATATAAATTTAAATATACGATATATAAATATTGTGTATTCAGTATAAACTATAGAGTATAGGGCATAGGCTATAGAGTGCCTCCAAATTTTTAGAAAATAATAAAGGGTGCCATGAGTCAAAAAAGATTGGGAACCTCTACCTTAGACGAATTACGTGACAACGTAGATAAGATAAGAATTATTTTTAAATTTTTAATTCTATCAATAACGATTTCGCAGGAGAAAACTATAAAAACGTAAAAGAACTGGTCAAATAAGTAAAAATATTCAGAAAAACTGGAAATAAACATTTTTTTTTTAAAATTACTGAAAAAAGCAAAAAAAAGCTCTTTCAAATTTCATAATTGTGCTTGTTATAACTTGACATACGCTTCTATAGCACTCTGCTACGTTTTAAGTCAATAAATAAAAATAAGCAAATGCTTTAACTCCCGCGCCTTGATTATGACGATGGCATAAGATTGACGAATTTCATTGCAATTATATGCAATCAAATGCAATAAAATAACTCGTTAAACAAAACTCGATGTTTCCTATCTTCTTGAATGCATCATACTGATAACCTTTTAATTTTTATGTACCGAACAATTTTTTTTTGTTTTTTTTTTTTGTTCTAAGCAAATAAATGCAATTAGAAAATCCCATATCTTTAAAACGAATGTGAGATAACAGGATTTCAAACATGCTTATCGATTTATGTCAATTTTTCGGGGCCACCGTGAGGTTAGATAATGTACATCTGCTTATCATATTCAAACGTTTCTTCAGTTTGCCATGTAATCACACTTTTCACTTGTCATTTGGTGATTCTCCTATCGTCATATTATATGATACTGTGCGATTATATATAATTAACCGAAACACTTTGAACGTGGACAGCACATTAAACACTAACCCCACCCGTTTTAATTCATCATCGACGTATAAAAAAACGTTTTTTATCATATCCCAACATACCACTAATAACGTTATAGTCAGTCGCAAACGTATCTTTTTCATGAATCGTGGTATACTCCTCTTTTTGCGATGTCCGTACAGTTATACGCGTTATGCCGTTTTTCGTTCTGTTCTGCGCACTTGTTAACCTATTGTGTTCGCAAAAAGTCTCATAAAATACCGCTCGATTATCCGTACGGAATTCCGGGTGCAGAATACCGTTCTCAGGTTTCATCGTTGGTGTGTACTGTTACGATCGCCCCGGCATCCGCAGAGATTGTCACAGAACCTAAATTGTACACAGATATTATAACGGCTGACTTTGAAACTCGTACGCCACGCATTACCGATGGAGGCTATTTCAAGACGAGTCGTTTTCTGCAAATCGAATAAACAAATATTGCAATTGTACCACACCATTTAATAAATTGTGCTCGCGCTATAACGTTGACGTGGATTGCATTCGATCGGATGAGAAAATATCGATACGATGAAGTTTAAAAAAAAAAAAATGACACCGTATTCGTTGTGATATTATTCCAACCGACGATCATCTGACTCCTGGGGAACGATATAATTATTTGTAAACGTCTCTACCAACATTGTGTACGGCACGAGGTCACATCGAAAATATATAGATTCCCCTCCACGCAGTGCAGCAACTACACTAATTTGGACCCGTGTGTAAATAAAATGAAAGCCCCCCCACCCGCGCCCGGTCTCTGCAGGGAAACCGTACCTTTAATCAATTGTAACCAAACTATTTTGAATTTCGATTATACAGGCCACAAAAGAAACGTCGATGTACGATAGTGTGTAAAAAACAAAATCAATTAATTGTTCAATCTCCATTAATAATTATTTTTACAAAAAGGTTTTATTTTCTTGTTTTCTACATATTTTTCAAATATTATCATTGGGCCCTATTAAAGGCTTGGACCACGGGGCCGTGTGTTTGATATACGTAACACACCCGGTTATTGCGGTACTGCTTCCGCGACTCATTTCATTGTCATGCTCGAATTTGACTCCAGGTCATATGTACATTTAAACGAAAACACCGAATCGTATAACCCCCCCCCCCTTCCGCGCATTATTCGTGTCTCATTTTTGAGATTATCCCAGGAAACTTTACGTATTGACGTCAAAAACTCTGGAGATATGGTTAAAACTTTAAAAGTCTACGAGATCCGCAAGCTTACGAACCTAGAGAGAAAAACATATATGTTTATTCCTTAAATTTTCGGCGTCCTTAGACGATCGGTTTCGATCGCAGTGTACGTGACATTTCATCATGTAATATCAACACGTTTAGCATAATATATTATTATAGAACGCTTTGATGATTTAGAGCACAAGTGTGACGAGAGACATTTAACGAATAGTTCAGTACAGGTGATTCAGAGTTTACACTCCAATAAGTCCCAGTACTTCAAAGCCAGTGACGCCGAACCCTATAGTATACTCTATAGTATACTAACGTATTCTATGAGCGCCGGTATGTGCCTTATACGGAGGAAAAAACCGTAGAGCACACCTAACCTAACCGATTTTTTGCCAAAAATGTCACTTACCACACCGATGTGCGAACACGGATCGACGATGGCGATTGAATGATATCACTGGACGTCTGCATGGAAATTAGAAATATAAATCTGTTACGCGTACACGTCAGCTCTGCATTGCGCACGGTCGTGGTGGCAGATGTGAAACGATTTCAGGCAGTGTAGTACGTACATAGTCGATTCGTTGAGTCACCGGGGTCGCGATTCGATTCTATTCGAAGCGCAACTGTTCCACGCCGTAAACGCCGTCCGTGCCTGGGCCGAACCGAAGTCATTGTTCGTAAACGCTCGACAATATTGCACCACATGTGTAATATAATTAAGCCGTGAACGTAGAACAATCCTATGATAAATGCACATAAAACCAACGGCCTGTGCTTTTTTTAATCGATTAAAATAGGTACAAAGAAATAAAACTGATTCGATACTTTTAAAATGTTAATACAGTTTTGTTGAATGCACTAATAATTTAATAAAAATCATTAAACACCACAAAAAAAAAAAACAATATAATTAAATACAAGATATAAAAATCAAAGTACATATTTTATTGGTAAATTATTTGTAATGTTTGCATATTTTGAATAAATTTTTTAGGTATTTGACAATAATTGATTAAAATACGTTATGAAATGTGTAGGTATATCATTAATCCAAGCGCTCAAATATATTTAAAAAAAAACTGTCGTTAGTTTCATTTAAAAAATATTGTATATGTATGTAAATATTTTGAGTAAAATAGAGCAGCGGTGACCCACCGAAAGTTCATTTACATTATAAGTAATACATACAGATTTCATATATCATTCAATAATACAGTTGTGTGTAAGCACTACAAGTAATATTATCTAAAATAATTTTTACAACAGTTTACAATAATTTAAAAAATTCAGAATGTTTATCCGGTTAAAGAAACAAAACATAAATAACGTTAAAGAACTATACGATAGTAAATATAAATTGTATTATTATAAAACAAATGAAACGCGAATTTTCGCTGTGGATAAAATCGTTGAAAAATGTTTGAAAATTCGTTCTCTAATCATTAGTTATTATTATTATTATAATTAGCAACCAAACGTAAATACAGTACAATCCGAACCTGAAATATTCAGCATTTGACTGTACACCAAGTCAATTCACCCCGAATTCCAATAAGTCTGAGTATTTCATTATAAATAAAACTTTTTTCATTCATTTAATTTTCATACTTCGTCGTGTTTAAAGTCCAAATATTTTCGTATCGAGCACTTGATACCGGTATGGTACAATGTAAAATATTCATCATTAAGTTAATAAAATATTTGCCACCCTCCATCCGCGGATGCTCATTTTCCTTTTATTCCTGAGAACCGTGCCGTTTGTGAATAAAAGTTGTTTATTAATAATCCTTTCTATAGTTTTGCTGTTTCCACAAGTTCTTTTGAATAATACCTTTTTCTCTCGTTTAATTATAAAATATCTCAACTTGCTATACATGCTAGAATTGAACCATGCGGGATCCCAATTATATTATTATTAATAGTAATAAAACCCTCTAGTCACAATACCCTAACAAACGATATTGCTTAAAAGGAAAACCATTTCGACGCACAAATTTTGAAATCAGTGTATCCGAATGTGTATCCAAGGAATAATGTACGACGTCTTGTGTTATTCGAAGATTCGTGTTTATTCATACAACAACGTAAATGCACGAAAACTATAATTATATTAACTTTCTATTTATTCGTAGCTGCACGAAAAAAACGGCAAAAAATAAATGTTTACAAATCGATATTTCAACCGAGAAATTATTTTCTAATGAAAATAAATGTATTTCTTCCACGTTTTTCGAAAACATCTATTTCGATGTACGAATAATCAAATTTCGAATTCAATCTTAATTCTTTGATCAGTATATTACACCGTACGTTGATTAATACTAATACCCGCAACAGTATTAGATAATGAATCAAAGCTAATTGAAATCGAACCAATGTTTTGCAATAAAATATATAAAAAAAACTGTAAGTACAATTTGTTCGCATTATAACATCAACAAAGTTATTAAAGTATTAACAGTGCTATTCAAGTATTAATAAAATATTTATCAAAAACTGATGAAAAATGACTTGCAATGATAAATATTTTTAATCCAAAAATTATTATTTTCTTCTTTACAAACATCTAACTCCGTATAATAATAAAGTTTTACAAATACGTCATTTGCATAAAAAATATTTAAGTCAACTAATAAAACGCTTGAAGTTTTATGTAGTATAACTAGAGGTTTAGGTTTGCCGGTTTTTATGCAATCAATAATTATTGGTGCACGTGTTGAAAAAACGTCAACAAACAAAATTAATATACTTACTGTATGAAGGATTTGATCAAAAAGCACTTCACCTAAATTTATTACAAGTACATCGTGAACATTATGAATACGTATACCTGCGTAATCAGTAATTATTATAAGATACCATTAATATTAAAATCTAAACAAGTTCATTCAAGTTTTATGAAATGTATACGTAAACAGTGATTTATTATATCTTACTACATTAAAAATTGATTTCGTGTGTTTAATTTATTCAATTTATACAATTTTTAACATTGTACCACGTATATAATCATTATTTAAGTACTTAATCTCGGGAACGTAATCGATGAACGAGAATGTATTTCTCGAGTTTGCCCACAGATTATTACGACTTAATTAATATTCGTTATGTAATGACAAATTTTAATAAATATTTATACGCTCACAATTTACCACAATTATTTTATATTTATACTAATATATAGATAATATTGCAAATACTCGACATTTTAAAAATAAAAAAAGAGCTATAGTTCTTGTACATTATTAAAGATACATCCATAATTTTATTTTTATTTTTTAGGTTGACGAATAATTTTTTTTTGTATTTTTTAGAATCTTCCATCAATCACTTACAGAACATGCTGAAAATACACAAGGGTTTGAAAAAAAAGAAGAAAAATAAGAAAAACAAACATAAAGAAGAAGAACTTTTCAACGAAGAAGAACTTGAGAGATACCGCCGAGAACATCAAGAGGGAAAAGAAGCTGAAGGCGAAAAAGACGGCCAAGAAGAGTGGCAGAAGTTCAAAGCAATCACTGCTGGAATTGATGACGTGTTAAAAAAAACACAAGGTGACCTCGACCGTATTAAAACAAACAGTTTTTTCCAGAGAAAACCCACTCAGACAGAACTTAAAGCAGCTGAAGAAAAGTTAGAAGCGGAAAAACGGGCAAAATTAGAAGAAGAATTGCGAATAAAGGCCGAATTCGAAGCGCTTGATTCTGCTAAAGTACAAGAAGAAGCAGCGGCCTGCGCACCTGTTGATGAAGAATCATCAGAAGAAGAATCGGTTAATGGTGATGACATATTTGATACGTCATACGTTGATGTAATCACAAGTGGCGAGGTAAAACTAGCATACATTCCAGAAAGCCCAACCGAAGAAAACACAGAATTCGATCCTTTTGATACTTCTATAGTAGACAAGGTTATCCAACCAAATCCATCGAAAAAAAATAAAAGATACATAAGTCTTGGGTGTGCGGTTGAAGTTCTCTCGGGTAAAGAAGTTGATATCAATCCCGAGGTCTTCAGGTCTACGGCTGTGCGAAAAAGACCAAAACCTGTAAATTTATTGTTGGAAAGTTATGACGAAAATACTGCTGGTGTACAACTTGTAGATGATAAACCTGTGAAAACTTTACTTGATGACGATCCTGATCTGTCAACTGACGCATTACCATTAACTATTGTTACGCCGATTGAGATCAAACCACAACCAATCAAAGAAGATATAAAAACTCCCCAACAAGATATCAGTCAAATTATAAACGAATTTGATTCACCACTTATCTTATCGGAAACCGTAAATACACAGCTACAGTTAGACGACGATATAGATGATGAATTCGCTGCGTTAGCTGCAGAGTCTTTGTCGAAATCTCCTCTACCCGAGGACGTCGATCCTTTTGATACATCTTTTGCGGACCACCTTGTACCCGCAGTAAATAATATAAATATTAAAACAGAACAAGCCAAGACATATATTGACGAAAAGACAGCGGAAAAAGAATTTTTTGAAAGTGTCAGACCACTAAGTTTAGAACATAGAGATTTACTGGGTGGCAGTACAACCGATTTGTCGGTAATTGGTCATCATCCGATTGCACCTCGTAATCCGGCAGACGAAACAGTACAAATTGATCCTTTTGATACGTCAATTGCCGAAAGCTTATTGCCCGGTAAAAGCGAGTTGAAATTACTCGAAAAAGAACTTTTAGAAGACTCCAAAGTACCTATTAAGAAAATAATAATAGAAGAAGACGACGATTTCAATCCCAGAGCTGAAGAAATCGCTCGGCCGGCTGAACTAAATTTAAAAGAAAAGAGAGTTAGTATACCAAAAGTTACATTTGCTTTAGAAAAAGATTTGTTGACGAACGATCATCACGGTGAATTGCATGTAGCTAAACCGTTAACTCCGTATTATCCACAAGAACAACTAAACGAAGACAATTTAAATACCGATCCATTCGATACATCACACGTGAAACACGAACCCGGAGAAGTAGAATTGAAATTGTTAGAGAGTGAACTAGTGAAAAGCGAACCCAAGTGTACGGATATATTAACCGAAGAAGAATTTATTCCTCACGTACTGCACACACCCGTTGAGCCAGAAATAGCTGTCCCAGAAGAAATCGATCCTTTTGATACGTCATTTGCTAACGACGCTGTACCCAGCCAAACAGAAATAAAATTATTGGAGTCTGAATTTATACATAAATAAAGATGGCTAATCCATTTTTAATCGGAGATGCAACAGCTACTTTTACCGATAATAGTAATACTTTTAATCCATTTTTAACTAATACAACAGCAGAATTGGAATCTCATAATGATAACCCATTTTTCTCGAATTTTAATGCTTCGAATTCTGCTCAAGACAATACAAATCCATTTTTGGCGTTCACGCAAAAACCAGAACGAACTCAGCCAGTGGCTGATCTACTGGGTATTAATGAAAAACCCCAAACTGCTGCTGCAGAGGATACATCAAAAACGAAACCTCCACCACCGAGACCAGCACCACCTAAAAGACCACCACCAAGACCAACACCACCGCCTTCGCACAATGCCAAAGAATTGATTCTTAGTGTAACAGGAGAAATGGATGCTACTTCGTTACATTTACTGGATAGGCTAGCAAAGACCCCAAGTCCTACGCCAATGAGAGACTTACTATCTCCCAGTCCAACACCGACCGCTGATCTATTAGGGTGTGAGGATCTTCAACCTCCAATTACGTCCCAATCATCTAATGTTTTTGACCAACAAACAAACATCATTGATTTTTCTTCAGGACCAAAACCAGAGAGGCCAAAATTTCCACCGAAAATAGATTTTCTCATGGATGATTTACTAGAAGATGTTCCAATCAGTGAGGGTATACAACCAGAAGAAAGTTATATACAAAATAGAACACCCTCGATTCCAGAAAATCAACCAATAGTCGGTGGATCTAAACCGGAATCAAGAAAATCTTCAAACGATTTTATTCTTCCGGTGAGAAGATTATCACATGACGTTACAGAATCAAGAAAAATTATGCCAGATTTAAGTAAGATGGCTGATCGAAGGAAGTCAGATATAGGACATTTTGCACCAATATTACCATCAAAAAAACCTACTAGTCAAAGTGATCAGACATTACAAGAAAGTAAATCAGAAAGCATGATTCAAGAAATTACTGAATCCGAAGAGAAACCAAATGTTGAAGTCTTCAATAATGTAGTGGAGGAAACTCTAGTACCAACCGAAAATGTTCAAGAGCAAAAGATACAAGAGCAGAATGTGCAAGATCATAAAGTGCAAGAGCAGAAGGTACAAGAGCAGAAAGTAGAAAATCAGAATGTGCAAGAGCAGAAAGTACAAGATATCATTATTCCAACGCATTCTACGGAAATCAAAAACACTGAGTGGGATGAAGAAAAAAATGGATTAGATTTTGATTCGCAGCAACAAGTAAAATCTTCTAATCAATTTGAAATTGATACGGCAATACATAAAACTGCAGTAAGTAATAATGATATAAATGATACCTCGATAATTGATAAGAAACCAACACCACCTGCATTTGAAACGTTACCAGTTGAGTTGACGACAAACGAATCTTTTAATGCGTTTGGTATTAATGAAACGTTACCGCCATCAGAATCATTTCCTCCGTTTACCGAAAATGATACAACAGCTAAAGAGAAGCCTTTTGATGCATATGATATGAAACCTGTACCATCAGTGCCTGATCCGTCACCTTTCCAAGAAATAAGTTCTCAAGAAACGTCATTTAATGCAGTGTTTGAATTACCTGAAAAAACAGCAACTTCACCATTTGATGTGCAAGAACCACATCAGTTAGATTGCACAAGTACGTCCGTGAATGCAATTTCTGAACCGTTTCCAGAATCAGCAGTTACTGAAAATGACGCTTTCGATGCATTTGCTGCTAAATTCGACGATTCTCAAGTAGATTGTAACACAACTGGATTTGATGCATTTGGTAGTGTTTCGGAAGGAGCGTTTGAAGATTCATCAATCGGTTTTGGAGCAGATGACAACTTTGATTCATTTTTATCAACTCATCAAATTCCAGCTGCGCCACAGTCGACTCCAGCAAAAGTTACAAGAAATAATTCCGGCGAATCTTTAGATGAAAATGATTTTAATGTTTTTATAAGGTATTTAATTTGTTCACCTAAATACATTATGATGAATAATAAAAATGATTATTTATTTTTTGTTTTAGACCTAAGACAGAGTCAGGTGATTCTGATCAATCCGCTGTGCCTTCAATTGCTCCTCCACCAAAAGTGCCTACAAGTTTATTCCAAGAAGGAGCTCCTTCTCGGTTCAATCCATTTGACCAAGAGCCAAGTGAAACAAATTTTAAATCTCAAGGTTAATAATAGTATACTCATGCATTAAAAAAAAAAAAAATGTATATTAATTTTAAACTGTTGTTTAATGTATCTTATGCAGACACGTTCATTCCTCAAACGATTCCTCAACGAACAGATTCTCAAGAAACACCACCGAGTCCATTATTTGATGAAGATGTTTCCCAACCACTTGAAGAATTTCCACGAGTGAATTATAATGGTGACGGCTGGGCAATGGAGTTGAGACAACCGAACAAGAAAAAAATTACTGCACACCGATTTTGGAAGAAAATATTTGTTAAAATCACTTACCAAGGTGAAAATCCGGTTCTTCAATTATATAATACTAAAGATGATAAAGATCCATTCCAAGAACTTCCATTGCAGCCAAGTTATTCCGTATCTGATATTGGTAATTAGTAAATAAATTACTAAATAATATTATAATATTTAGATTATAAAATTATATATTTGATGATTTTAGGAGCTCAACAGTATGACCAATATGGTAAAATATTTACTGTAAAATTACTGTACATATTTTATAAGGAAAAGGCTGGATTTCGACCAGGTCAAGTGACAAAAGCTGAAAGGCTAACCAACAAATTAAGTCAATTTGCAGCTTATGCTATCCAAGGCGATTACCAAGGCGTAAAAGAATTCGGTAGCGATTTGAAAAAATTAGGATTGCCTGTAGAACATGGAGCTCAAGTAAGAAAAAATAATAATCTATGTTTAGACATATAATGATAATTTATTCACATAACATTTGATAATACGTTTTTTAGACTACGACACTGTTAAAATTGGGAAGTCATAGTTATGAAGACATGAAACAGTTTAGTATCTGTATCGAAGAAGCTCTATTCAAACTTTCAGCTCATCGTGATAGAGCATTAAACTACAAAGTAGAAGATGTACAAATCACTGCGATGGACGAACTGTTTGTCGATCAAAATTCACAGGGGTCAGTACTTAAACAAATCGCACGGGTCCGTTTGTTTTTCTTAGCGTTCATGTGTGGTGAGTGTCAAGAAACAATTTGTTTTTATTTTTATAAGAAAACTTTCATTTATTTCTATTGTGATATTTTAGGAATGCCTGATGTTGAGTTGGGCGTGAACGATTTAGTTCGACAAGGCAAAGAAGTGGTGGGTCGTCACGATATTATCCCAGTAGTTACCGAAGAATGGATTCGTTTAGAAGGGGTGGAGTTCCACAATTGTGTTCAACAAGACGAATACGAAAGAACAAGAACCATCAAGTAACATTACATATTATTAACGCTTTTAAATTGTTAAAACTTTTACTTATATTTATTTATTTATATAATTCATACAGACATAAGGTCCAATTACAATAAAAATTGTTTATCTTATTATTCATAGCTAAGAGCTCAATTCACATTATTTTTAATTTATAAAAAACTATTACCAAATAGATCAATATTATACATATAAGCTATATTCATTAATCGATTAATTGATTCTAATTGAGTATTTGCTAAAGACGTATAAAGCAAAATGTAATTTCTTATATTCATTTTTGATACATTAAAACTATTCATACATAATAATTCAGGACATTCAATTGAATTATTAAGCAATTTATAAAAGAAAATGTTTCTTGTTTTTTCCTTCTTATCTCTAAAAAATTTAAATTTAAGTTACTGTTAGTTACACTTAAGCCTGTGAGATTAATTACTGTACTAAGTTTATTAATACTATTTAGTTATAAAATAGAAAATTGCTAAATTTATAATGGAAAGATTAAAACTTTTTGTGTTACATAGTTGTAGGGGGGGGGGGGGGCTTTGTCCCCAAAAATTCCCCTGAGGTGAACACATTTAGTACTCCCAAGTTTTTAAACTGAATGTGCGCCAATGGTGTGCTTTTATGTTTATATATAAATTACAATTAATAGAAACAGATCTTAAAAATTTCGATGTTGGACAGCTTCTAGTTCTTTAGTTAAATCTTATTGATGTAGTGCCCAGAGAATGGATGTTAATTATTTACAATTACAGGTTTAAACCACCAGATGCTTGTTACATAGAATTGATGAGATTCAGAGTGAGACCACCAAAAAACCGGGAACTTCCATTACAACTAAAAACAACAATGTGCATAACAGGGAATAAGGTTCGGTACAAAAATATGATTATAAATAATGATGATTATAAATATGATATGGGTAAATTGTTTCTTCTCGTCAACCGCTACAAGCATGATCATTAATTTACAGGTGGAATTAAAAGGAGACATACTCGTACCGGGATTCACTAGTAGAAAACTCGGACAGGTGCCTTGTGAAGATGTAGCTATAAGGTTCCCTATACCGGAATGTTGGATATATTTGTTCAGGGTAGAGAAGCACTTTAGATACGGCTCTGTCAAGTCAGCACACAGAAGGTAAAATCGAAAGGAATAATTATTTTCAATTTTAATTTTTGAGATTTACGTTTTGCACACCAGGACGGGCAAGGTGAAAGGTATTGACAGATTTTTGGGCACGATGGACAACCTCGAGCCCCATTTGATCGAAGTGACATCTGGCGAAGCCAAATACGAGCACCATCATAGAGCCGTGGTGTGGAGAATGTCGAGATTGCCTAAAGAAGGACAAGGTATACACATCACAGCTCAGGAGTCCATGTGAAAATCGCAAAAAAAATATCGGGAAATGTTTTAACAGCGAATACATTAATAGCGAAAAAAAAAGAAATTATTTTCGTTAGTGGGTATACCTTTATAATATAATAATACTAGATAATACTAGTTAATGAATAATGTAAGTTTGTACTATTACGTTTTGGATCACGTAATAAAGATAAGTCGTGGTTAAACCTAACCGCTGTCAAGCTTTATATATTATGATCATAGAATAGTGTGATGATGTATTTTATATACTTACACAAGTTTAGGAAAAATATCAAATTTTAATGTTATTTTAACGTGAATTATTACTTATTATATTATAAAGATATATCCATGTATATTTCTTACTGTTCACTATTTATGTTTTCGCTGTTAAAATATTTCGCGATTTTAACTAGCACCCGCAGCGCAACGATGGCCAACAATGATTACGCTACCGTGCACACGAACAGTGCGTCATTCTAAACCGTCGGTTTTTCCCTTGCAGGCGCGTACACTACGCACAACCTCGTATGCCGCATGACTCTAACATCGTTCGACCAAGTACCCGAGGAACTGGACAAGTATTGTTACGTAGAGTTCACGATGCCGACCACGCAGGTGTCGCACACCACCGTCAGGTCGGTTTCGATCGTTAATAGCGAGAAGGATGCTCCGCCGGAGAAATATCTGAGACTGATGGCCAGACACGAGTACAGGTACGCTTTGCATTATAAAACGACTGCAGTCGAAACCAGGGGCGCCATTTCAGTTTTTTTTTTAAGGGTGTGCAAGCAATTAAAGAGGCCAATTTTTTCTCATCACCAGGCCAAAATTTATGATTAGTAGTGATTACTGATCAGCCGCAGTGCATACCCAATATTAAAAATTGGAAAACTGAAGGCCAAGTCGCAAAGTCATGTATCAGTGACGCCTAGGCCAATAGCCAACAATTGAAGATGAAAACAATTCAGGGTGTGCGAGTACACACCCTGCTCCCCCCTCCCCTAAATGGCGCCACTGGTCGAAACCCGAATTTGATGCGCACGTCTCTATCGCGTCGCATGTGCCCCCATTATATGGTTCGATCGTTTTGCAGGGTGGAAATCGAGCACATACACGGGCAAGTCGAAGAAAACCCGTACCTAGCAGCGACCGCGATGCCGAGATCCCCGCAGCCGGTGCCGGAAACCAAACAGTCCCCGGCTGCAGCCGCTTCGGACAGCGATTCATCGTCTTAAACGTGCAATAATGATATTTTCACTATCGAGGTTTTATAAACGTTACGTTGTTGTGTTCCACGACAATTATTATTTTATAATGATATTATGTTACGTATGTTTAGAGTATGATCTCTTCCTTTAAAATTATATCGACCGTTGATTTATTATTACGATCGTGTACAATTAACGTTGTAATACGATTCACCATGTACATAGTAATTTACGACCGCTGTAACGTGGCCGAGGTTTTATTGGACGTTTTATAACGACATTACTGCAAAAAGCACGTTAACACGTAGCATAAGTATCCATGCGAGCCTGAAGACAAAACCAATAATTATTTACGTACATGAATATTTTAACCTATATATTTTCAAACGATGGAGTTCAACATTGAATCGTATTTTACCAACAAAACATTAGACGTTTTTCGTAAATCAGTTTTTACAGTAATGCAGCCCATATACGTATATATATATATATATATGATATCGAGTTCAATATGACAATAAAAAAATTATATGAAGCGTTGACACCGTTTTACGATTTTTCTTGGGAAAACCAACTAATTTTTTATACACTCGTTGAAAAGCTTTGCGTGTCTCGATATTTTCCTTAGTAACTTCGCGTAAACTAGATTATGAACTAATTTTATTTTTTAACTCTCGTATAATACTATAACAATATCATGTTGTTTTCATGTATATCCTATCCGTGTCGAACATGTGCCATAAAAATTATATTACTTTTATATGTCTAATAAAGTCGTAGTACCATTTCGCGTTTACATAATATTATAAATAATAGTACGTGACGAATACATAGTTCGCTGTGCACGTAACATTGTTATTTATCTTTATCGCGTTGAATCGAAAAAAATATAATCACTATGTAGATACATTAAGTAATATCGTAGATATTTTACCCGAGAGCCCGAGGATCTTGCTGTCAAACTGTTCGTAGATTACGAGTTAGCCGAGTAAATCGAAAAAAGTTTAAAATATAAAAATATATATTGTTGTTAAATACTTCTTCATTCGATTCATTGTTAACAATGTTTCCTGCGACAGACGTAATAGCATTACATATTGTGTAATCGTAAGCCAGCTGTCCGTTATTTTAAGACCAACGATACGTACCCGTTATTATTTATTTGACAATTTATCTCCAAATCAGTGCTGCGCTTTCTAATTGTAATTTTTTGTAATATTTTATTCCACTTATCGAGTTTTGCGCACGAAGCAGGCAAACCACACGTGATAAACATAGTGAAACATTATAATATTAATCGGGACGAAAAAATATTTTTGGTTTTGTTTTCCGTTTAGGGATGATATATATGTACTAGAAGTATGTTTTTCTTATCGCATTGATTGAATAAATGCAATACAATTATTACACGCGTTTGGTCGACAACAACGAGTCTTTTTTTGACAAAATACAAATAATAAACGTCATTATAATATAGTACGACTGCGTATTATTAACCTGTGTTTAAAAATATATTATGAGACCGTTGTTCGACCAAGTGGTGTTCAACGACTTGTGTTTATTCGACCAGATTCAATAAGAATGAAATGTTGAACGCTTTATTGAACGCATTGATTTTAATTTTTTTACATGAAAAGCGTGTACAACTTGTCCTACGAAATGTATAATTCGTTTTTGTTGCATATCACGTAGGTATCAAAAACTTTTAAAAATGTTTGTTTTTTGTAAAGTGAAAAGATTGTTTATAATTATTATTATTATTATATATTATTATTATTATCTATTATTATTATTATTATTATTATTATTATTATTATTATTATTATTA